AGCCTGGAGGACTTCAACTCCCAGAAGTCCCCAGCCAGCCTGGAGGAGTTCAACTCCCAGAAGTCCCCAGCCAGCCTGGAGGACTTCTACTCCCAGAATTCCCCGGCCAGCCTGGAGGACTTCAACTCTGGCTGGCTGGGGAATTCGGGAGCAAAGGAATTCTGGGAGTTGAAGTCCTTCAGGCTTAAAGTTGCCAAGGTTGGACACCCCTGATTTAAGTAACAGGTCCAGGAAACTGTATACTTTTTTTTTATTTCACCCGAACCGATGGACTTCGGAGCAAAACTTCGGATGACTTTCGCCCTCAAGCCTTTAAAAGCGGGGGGGGGGGAGGGGGGAGAGAGAAGGAGGAAAGGAGGGAGGGAGGCAGGGAGAGCGAGCATGAGGGCGGGGCGACGTCTACGTCATTGCTCCACCCCCCACCCCGTCGTTTCCCCCCCCACCCCCACCCCCCCAAAGAGTCCTCCTGCACTCGGCTGCCTTTCTCGCCCAATCACGGGGCGGTATGCAAACGAGCCGAGCGGTTTTGCCCGCTTGCGAGCAAAACATGAGCTCAGAGAGTGGCTGGGAGCGGAGCGGTGGCCTTTTGCGTGCGAGGCGCCTCTTTGTGGCACCCGCTCAGCGGCGCATCCCCGGCGGCTCTTCTTTATTTACCTCGCGCTTGAAGGCGGCGGCGGCGGCGGCGGCGGCGGCAAAAAAAATGGAGCGCTCGGCTCGCGCCAGCGGCTGGCTGTAGCAACGCGACCGGATTTCGCCGAGCAAAGAGATTCCTTTCCCCAGTCCGCGAGCATGAAGTACAAGGTAAGGAAGAGACCGCCGTGGGGGCGAGGGAGGGTGGAGGGGGGGGGGGCGAGTGTGAGTGCACGCTGGTGGGGTGAGCAACTTTCCAAAGCGGCTCGTTTTGCCAAAGAAGGGACCGAGTCGCTTTCGGAAGGAAAAGGACGGAGCGAGCGCCCCGCGGATGGTGCTGAGGGAAGCTTCAGTGGGTGCAAACCGGGCTGTCAAAAAAGAAGATTCCCAGGGGGATTTAGACTAGAGGTGGTTTGGGTGTGAAAGCGGTGGGGCTTGCTACCTTCCTGCCCGTGAAGACCTTTCAGGTCGACTTTTATTCCCGCCTTTTTAAGCGGAGCTTTCCCGACCTGCGGATGCTTCTCAGCTTTCTCCGCCTCTGTGAGGATTCAGGGCAATTCGGAATAGAGCTGGAAGGGACTTTGGAGGTCTTCTAGTCCAGCCCCCCCCCCCCCCCCGCTCAAGCAGGAGACCTAGTATGTATCATTTCACACAAGTGGCTGTCCGGTCTCCAGTGATGAAGTACCCACAACTTTTTTTTTTTTATTTCTTTATTTTGATTTGTCAATCGCTTACAAGATAATAGGTATAAGTATATACATAGTTATGAATACATGAAATGGGTACATATAAGAAAAATAAAAGGAACAATAGGAGAGGGACGGTAGGCACGTTGGTGCGCTTATGCACGCCCCTACAGACCTCTTAGGAAGGGGGTGAGGTCAATAGTAGACAGTCTAAGGTTAAAGTTTTGGGGGTTTGGGGAAAAAAACCACAGAGTCAGGTAGAGTATTTCAGACATTGACCACTCTGTTGCTGAAGTCGTATTTCCTGCAATCAAGTTTGGTGCGGTTAACCATGAGTTTATATCTATTGTGTGCTCTTGTATTGTTATGGTTGAAGCTGAAGTAATCATTGACAGGTAGGACATTGCAATGTATTATTTTATATACCGTATCAGACCAAAGACAGTGTAATTCAAGGTTTGCTAGGTCTAGAATTTCAAGTCTGGTGGCATAAGGTATTCTGCAACGAGTAGAGGAGTGGAGAACTCTTCTTGTGAAATATTTCTGGACTTTCTCAACTGTGCTAATATCAGATGCATAATGTGGGTTCCAGACTGATGAGCTGTATTCGAGTATTGGTCTAGCAAATGTTTTGTATGCTCTAGTTAGTAGCGTGATATTACCAGAGAAAAAGCTACGCAGGATTAGGTTAACAACTCTTAATGCCTTTTTGGCTATGTAGTTAACAGTGGGCTCTAGCACTTCGATCATGAGAGATGAGTATTCCAGGGTCCTTTACAGAGCTTGGATCATCAACAAGGTCAGCCTGTATTTTATTTTCTGCCTGTATTTCTGTATTGTATTCAGCCTGTATTCTGTATTGTATTCTGCCTGTATTCAGCCTGTATTTTATTTTCTGATTTATTTATTTTTTGCCAATATGTAAGACAGAGCATTTATTTGTTGAGATTTGAAGTTGCCATTTGTTTGACCATTCTGATACATAGTCAAGATCTTTTTGAAGGGTAGCAGTATTTATTGTCTGTGGTATTGAACAGCTTTACATCATCAGCAAAGAGAATGCAGTTGCTCTTAATGCGATCACAGAGGTCATTTATGTAGAGTATGAAGAGAGTTGGTCCTAGAACACTGCCTTGGGGGACACCACTTTTGAAAGTACAGAATTTGATAGGACGCTCCCAATTTTGACCATTTGTTGTCTGTTTGACAGGAATGCTTCTATCCAGTTATGTAGTTGTCCAGAGATACCATAAGATTTTAGTTTTAGGATTAGTTTGTCGTGTACCACTGAATCAAAGGCTTTACAGAAGTCTATATAGATTGCGTCTATTGTTTTGCCCTGATCGAGTTGTGTAGTCCATATGTTTTTGCAGTGTAAGAGTTGCAGATTACAGGATAGTTTTTTCCTGAAACCAAATTGTTTATTAGAGGGTAGGTTGTTTGTCTCTAAGTGGAGGATAAATGGATTGGTTAATAATTGATCCCATGACTTTACAGATGACACAGCATAAGGAGATTGGTCTGTAATTTTCAACTAGGCTGGGGTCTCCCTTTTTGAAGATGGGGATGACCGTGGCTTGTGAACTTCTGAAGGCAAGTTGTTCCACTGGTTAATTGTCCTCACTTTTAGGAAGTTTTTCCTTAATTCCAGGTTGCTTCTCTCCTTGATTATTTTCTATCCAATGTTTCTTGTCCTGCCCGCTGGAAAATAAGTTCACCCCCATCTTGTTGGTGTCAGCCCCTCAAATACTGGGATACTGCCACCCCTAGTCTTTTTCTCTATACTAAATGGTAGTTGCCTGCATCTGGAGGGTGCCAGGCTGAGAAAGGCTGTTCTAAATTTCGAGGAGGGATGTGTTTTGCTTTTTATTGCTTCCAACGTGGGAACGTTTTTGCTCCCAAGATACCAACATGCCGGGCATCATTTGCATCATTTTTGCTTCCGTGGAGCAATGTTCCTTTTAAGAATAAAATCTCACATGTTTCTGAGTCAAGCACATTGCATCAAATAAGCCCCACGCAATGCCCTTTATCTAAGCCTAAATCCTGTTGAACTAAGGAACTCGATATACATCATGCTGCCACGTTTATTACTTACAAATAAGTCTGTTAGCTCAGTTTTGTCATAAGCATAGCAAATGTTTAACTTTTCTGACTAAGATGCAAGGTAAAAAAAATATGACAAATTGGTTACTACTCATAAAACCAAGTAAATCAATCTTGAATGGACAGCTAAAAGAGAAGGAATTCTGATGGCATTCAGTTACTTATAAACATCTTCTGCTTACTTGTGAAACAATCAGGTAGTCCTTGACTCACAACAGTTCATTTAGTGACCGTCCAAAGCTACCACGGCACTGAAAAAAGGGACTTATGACCGTTTTTCACAGTTACGACTTTAAAGCATCCCCATGCTCATGTGATCAAAATTCAGATGCTTGGGAGTGGGTTCACACTTATGACCCTTGCTGTGTCCCAAGGTCACACGATCCCCTTTTGCAACCTTCTGACAAGCAAAGTCAATGGGAAAGCGAGATTCATTTAACAACCAGGTTACTAACTTATCAACTGCTGTGATTCACTTAACATCCCTAGCAAGGAAGGTCATAAAATGGGGCAAAACTCACTTAACAAAAAAATACGTGGGGCTCAGTTGTGGTCATAAATCAAGGATTACTTGTGTTAATGTTGCCTAAACAACAATGATAAAAAGATTGCATTGGGCGCTGTTCAAGCTCCAACTCTAAGCAAGATAATTATTTCTTTGGCTTTGCTAAAAGCATAAATTAGGATTTTGTTTCCTGGTACTTTTGTAATATAACGTCAGCTGTTGACTTGAGAGGAGGTAGAATTTTACCTTGTCTTGTGCAAGTATACATAGATGATGTGAAAGATGTTTTTTTCCCAGTGAAATATCATGTTTTAATAAGCAGAACTGTATAATTGCAGAATAATTGTTTGTTTACTTTAAGTAGAAATGCTTTAATGGACAGTGGGGCAAAGTGCTAGCTTTTTTGATCTGATGCCTCTAGATATGATGGACTATACTTTCTGGCATTTCAGGCCTTGATAGTGGATGTTGGGAATTGTAATCCAGGACATCTGAAATCAGGCAAGAGAGCAAGGGATGATTGTTATGATTTCTCTACACTAAATTCCTTGCATAAGTGGCATTTGTTATATTTTTAATAAAGAGGCTATAATTTCACTCACTGGGATTTCAAATGTTTTACTATAAATCTGTCTATTCCAATCAGAATAATTTATTATCTTTCCAAACTTTTTATTATTATTTTTTATTATTTTAAATTTGTGCATGCTTGCTCAGAAATCCTACTGACCTCAATATATATATTTACAAATAGGGAAACTCTGGTTTGATTGCTGCTAGAGTAGAACTCTGTAAAATTTACCTGAGTAGAATCTAGGACAACCTTTCTCAAACTTGGCAATTTTAAGCCAGCTAGAAAATTCTGGGTATTGAAGTCCACCCATCTTAAAATTGCCAAGTTTGACAAACACTGATCTAGGAAGACACTATAACCTTCTGGGCACTGATGTATGCACAGCCATGGAGTATATCTGAGATATGAATTTAGCAAATACAGCTACTGCAATCTTATTTTCTTAAAATTGACAAGGACGTGGGAAAGCAAGCATATCAAGATTAAGAAAAATCCAGAAGATTTGTTCAAATGCTCTTTCTCACAAAAAATGTTCACAGCTTTATTTTTTGGGGGTGTGTGTGAGTCTTTAGCTTTTAGATAAACTTTCATATATTCAGTATATACAGTAGTTTTGTGTTGCTTCTAGGAGCCTATGATGATAGGAGGAGACTGGCTATGCAAATTAAGAAAGATAATAACAACAATAACAACAACAAATAATAAGATCATCAACTAGATAATCATGACCCATTATAACTTCAGAGATAGTTTCTTATGTCGAATGACTGTGGCTATTTGGCAGGTGCAGATGCAATGGGAATGGGAGTGACTTCCAACTTCCTGCCAGCTTCCCCATTGACTTTCCTTCTAGAAAGCTGGCAGGGAGCATTGGAAATGACAATGACGTGACTTCAGCTGATCATGGCAGCACAGAAGTGGACAAACCTTTGCCAAATTTTAATCCCACAGGAGTCATAGGTCTCAGATTTTGGATGCATTTTGTACATTAACCCATTTATGGCAGGTTGATTCAAAAATGGTTGCCCTTTGTTGCACTGTGATGCAATATTCAAATGGACAAAAGGGTTTTAGTAGTACCGGTATATAGATCCATGCCTAAAGATAAATATAGTACCTAAAAGTAATCTATTCATGGCTTATCAGAATTTACAAGGCACATGCAAATTGCACATTACATAGACACTTGAAAATTATAGTAACTGCACGCCTATTGCTGTTATTACCTGTTATTGCATGATTGCCAGAAAACGGACAGAAAGATCCTTGAAGGACAATATGAAACATCCATGAAATGAGT